CCGTCAAGTCGTAGATGACTCACAGTGACCATATGAACAAAAGACCTGAACACTTGTATAACTTTGGTTGTTTCTCCATGTTCATCAAGTTTCTGGAGGCAAGCTATTTTGGAAGTAGATGCCACTCCTGCTTCCAAACTTGTTTTAATCGTGAGGCTCTACGAAACACTGTCCACCTTGGTAACCATTATCTCATTTGGCACATCAGTGTCACAGTGTTTAGTATCACAGGAATCACATACATTACTAACAAAAAACTAGAAATTAGCTGCTTACGGCAAAGGTAGTTCCACTTTCAGCCTTCCTGATTCATTATTCAATTTTCAGAGGCATATGAGATGACTGAAAACATCAGGACTTGGGGCAGGCACACTTTAGTCTTTAAAGTGACATCCCTGTTCTTCTGTACTTACTGTATTGAGATCCTTGGCAGCTCATATGCCAGGTCCTTTACTGCTGCTTCCATGGGTCTTAATTGTAGATCCAAGTAAAACAACTGATCCAGTTGTAAGAACTGTATTCTTGATATTGAGATGTAACGAATACTGAAGAATATAGTGTTTGATGGCCTAGTGGCAAGAAGCCGCACTGCAATCCCAGAGGCGCATGGTTCGAATCCACCAGATGCTCTGCTGGAGAAGGAGGGACAATCTCCTCCTGTACCAGTAAGATCCGATTTGAAGGTACACACACACACAAATAATAAAATAAAAAAAAAAAGAAAAGAATATAGTGTTGTTATCTTGTGTGTTGTCAAGTTGGAACCAATCCATAGCTCACCCTCCAGTGGGTTTTCAGAGGCAGTAAATCACACAGGAGGCTGCCTATCCTTCTCCTGTGGAGCAGCTGGGGGATCCAAACCTTGCAGTTTTGGGACTGCAGTGCAGTCCCTTACCACTTGGCCACCAGAGCTCCCTGAAGACAATAGTATCATCAATAAACTGAGCTTCACGTCTTCATTTTCTGTAGGCAAAGTTGTGTCATCTGTACATCACAAGTTGTTGGTGAGTTATCCTCCAATGCCACATTCTTTTTCCATATAGTCCATCTTCAGATTATTTGTTTAGCATGGAGACTAAATCTCATCTCTCACTGCCAATGAATGGAAACCAACTCATAGCTGATCCTCCAGTGGGATTTTGCAGGCTATATATCAATGGGAAGAGACTGTCTTCTTTCTCCCGGGGAGCCAGGTGGATTTGAACAACCAAAGAGAAGACATCTTTGGGGTTAGCAGCACAATTCCCCACAAACTATGACATTCTAGAGGAGCAAAACTAAGTATTCTGGAATTCCAGTTCTTCTCAATGTTAACTTATTAACCATGAGAGAGATTCAAATCAGAACTACATATTATCTAATTTCTGGAAAAGAGGCACAAATTATTAAAAAACCAAACAAACAGAAAATTGAAAATGCTAGTGAGGCTGTGGGGAGACTTGAACTTTATATACTGCTTATGGAATTTTAAGATGGTATAATCACTGTGGAAAAGGGTATGACGCTTCCTCAAAAATCTAGGAATAAAAATACTATATGATCCTGTGGGTAGGCTGCCCCTCTGGGCCTCTACCCTCTGCAAACCCTGTGGGGCTGCCTGGGGTTTGCAGCCCGCCTGGGGCTTTTCATGCAGGCATTGACGCAGGGAGCTTTGTAGCTACAGGAAGAGACTAAAATCTGTACAAAAATAAAACAGAAACCATGTCTCAAAGACTTGTATTACAGGTGTTCCATCAGTGTGTGCAAACGTGTGTATGTGACATGAGTCTGAAATACCAACTTGGTTCTCAAAAGATCTCTGAACCGTGTGCAGTTACTCAGCCAGGTGGGCCACGACCCCATCATGAGACTACCGGAAGTCACCATATTTTCCCTCGCAACTAACAAGATGTGGCGGTGTGGGGAGAGTGAAGTGTCCCAAATAGATTTAGGCAATGTCAGTCAAAAGACAATGTGGGGTGTTGGGGAAGACAACATGGCACAGAATATTAGTGTTTAGGCTTGGGCCTGCAAGACAATGCATATCAATATGTGAAGAAAGGTTCTCGAATACACGTTGAAGGGAATATACGTTGACTACACCAAGTATACAGATAAGAACAAGGTGCAGAGTCAGGCCACGAGCATCATGACAGATAACATTGTATTTATGAGTGACCAGACCAAGGAGAAGGCCTAGCTTGGACATGTCTTCCTTACCCTGGTGGGACAGTCTCATTTCCAAATCATGTATAGTCTTTTAGGACAGAAATTAAAGTATCCTTTTCCAGAAAAAAAAATTGTACGATCCAGCAACCCTAAATCCTTCTCCTAGGTATCTAGACATCTGCTTGTCTATCAATATATCTATCAATGGATGAATGATTGAAGAAAATGTGATACACATGTGAAGAAAATATGATACCTACACACAGTACTATACAATGATAAAGAAAAATGGAGAGTCTGTAAAATATAGCATGAAAAATCTGGATAGCATTATGTTGAGTGAAATAGATGAAGTGTAAAAGGACAAATATTGTTATGATAATGTTGTTTTTAGGGGCCATCAAGTTGTCTATGAATTATCATGACTCTATGAACAACAGATCTGAACCACATCCCCTATCCTGTACCATTATCATGATCTCCATTAAGGTCATGTCCATTGTTGTAATCACTGTGTCAATCATACTCCTTGAGGGTCTTTATCTCTTTCGCTGACCCTCTGCCTTCCCAAGCATGCCTTTTTTCAAGGACTAGTCATGCATAAAATATGTAAGATAAAGTTTTACCATCTATGCTTCTAAGGAGCACTCAGTTTGCACTTCTTCCAAGACAGACACTTTCTTTGCATAAAAATGTATAAAGAGCAACAATGAATGAATGGAAATCCAAAGTCTCTGTAAATTTTCATTGAAATTAATAATAAAAAAATGGGGAAAAGCATATAGGAAAAGTATTAATACATTTTCCATTAAATATTGTTACCATAAAAAAAACCACCTAAAAAAAAGCCCCCCACGTAAAAATAAGTTTATTCACAGAAAGCATTATTCTTTGATTATTACCAGGGCTGGGGGTTGGGGTAGGTAGGGAGGAAGAATCACTCAACTGTGGACACATGTTAATTCTGGTGAAGAAAAAGGCAGTAGACAACACAGGGTAAGTCAGAGTAATGTGACCAAAGTAAATGAAGACACAAGAATATAGTTCAGTTGTAATAACGGAATATAATAAAGTTCTGTACTAGCAATCTAAAATTTGTGCATGGTTACACAGTTTGATATGTATGCTATATATGTGTGGGAGGGCATATGAGGAGGCATGTGCATATATGGGTATAATTGGCAACATTTATGTATGCACATATTCATATGTACTTCATATATCTCTACTACACATGGGACACAGCTATAGAAAGTTTTTAGACATAAACAAATGCCTCATGCAACTGAGTTATTGGGCTTAAAGAGTAAGGATCATAGTCTTTGGAAACATGTAGGGGTCAATTAGCACAATACAGTTCATAAAGCCAATAATGACCTTTTCCCTTCTAATGATAAAAGACTAGGTTATTTGTGGGATGACTTCAAGGACATATACATGAGGAAAGCAAAAGGTCACTAAAAAGGCAGGAAGGCAAAAAAAGACCAAAATGGATGCCAGAAAACACTGAAACTTGCCATATAATGTAGAGAAGATAAAATACAAAGAAGAAATAACAAAGTAAGAGAGCTGAGCAGAAGATTTCAAAGGACAGGCTGAGAAGAAAATGCAAAGTGTTGTAACAAAATGTGCAAAGACCTAGGATTAGAAAACCAAAAGGGAAAAAAACCCCAAAACACCTATGCTGGTTATTTCTCAACCTGAAAGAGCTGAAGAATAAAATCTGAGCTAAAAAAAAAAAAAATCTGAGCTGCAATTTGCAACAAGGAGTCTATGGGTAAAATACAGAATGATGAAGGAGCATCAAAAAGAACTGGTCAGTGCACAATCACTAGGAGACAACATGAAATCAAGAATGAATGATATTAGCGGAAGAAGTCCAAGTTGCACTGAAGGATCACTCACACACTGAAACAAATTTCCAAGACTAAATTCCAACAGAAGACTACCCATCTTTCTCCCACGGAACTGCTTGCTGGTGGATTCACACCACCAGAGATGAGAAGGCTTTAGGTTAGTAGCGCAACTTCTTATGGCATTGGAGAAACTTAAGGCCTCAGGAATTGATGAAATAGAATTTGAAACGTTACAGCAAACACATGAAGCGTTGGATGTGCTAACTCATTCAGGCCAATGAGATCCACATTTATGTCCATTCAAAAGAAAGGTGAGTCAACAGCCTGAAACTCTTTACCATTAAAAAGACATTGCTTAAGAATGTTCTGCCTAGTGCTAGACAGTGCTAATTGTCTAGACTGCTAAAGAATCCTTTTGTGGGACCAAATGAAACAATAATGCTTTTTGCAACAGCTAAAAAAAAAAAGAATCATTTTGTGAATGTCAGCCAATGAAAATGTTTCTTTTCAAGTTTCTTAATTGTCAATATATACACTCTATAAAAAGTTTCTCTTGCAGGTCAGTGAATTCCCACTAACCACTGCTCAATCTGGGTTGCTTTATTCCTTCAATACATTTATCTTTTCTATTTTTAACAGAAATTCCAGTTTGCTCTTTGACAATATTCAGTGGGTAGAAAATACCAAACATGGTGCTTCTGTGGTTTTCACATTAGCTAGGAATATTCCTAGCTCTAGAACATAAATTGAAATACTAGAAAAATAATGCTCCATGACCTACGAAGACTTGAAAGGGCAATTTGGTTTTCTTCCTGGCTTCCTGCCTAAATTCACTTGTGAATAATTAGTATTTACCCAAATTTTCTTCCATAAGGAATGATGAGCATAATTGATAAATTTATATGCCAGAGAATAGGAAGCATTAGGCTAAAGAAAAAAAAAACACCCAAAACCTCAAACCATTTAGACATTAAAAAAAAAATTGCTAAAACTCACCATCAGAGGGCACAACAGTACTGCAATATACAACTCTCAAATTCTGCCAGGAAGAGAGCCGCTGATGTACCTAAAAAATGAAGGGAAACACATATACGGTCAGGACAACAAGTGTTACATACATAGGCCTGCATATATAATAAGCAATAGCTTTATGATCACCTTCACAAATACTCTTTATTTTTTTAAATTTTATTTTATTATTTTTGTGTGAGTGTACCGTCAAATCAGATCTGACTGGTACAGGAAGAGATTGTCCCTCCTTCCCTAGCAGAGCATCTGGTGGATTTGAACCGTGCACCTCTGGGATTGTAGTTGCAACTCCTTACCACTAGGCCACCAGAGCGCCCCTAACAAATACTCTTTTTAGGAAATTTAGAAATAGAGATAAAATAAAAGTACAGCCTCAAAAACTGCTATTATTAAGTGAGGATGGGCAAGGGGAAAACACAGGGTCACACAATTTGGTGGGTGGAGAGAGGAGTGGGTAAAGAAAATGGGAAAGATCTGGTGGGGATCTGGAAAGACAGGGTAAGTTCAATGATTACTTTTATAAAATACAATGAATGACAATGATTATATGAAACACAATGTGAATGAAGGATAGTGTGAAATAAAATGAATACAAACTTTGTAAAATAAAATTTAAAAAACCCCAAAACTGCTTTTATTCTAAGATAGTAATATAATCTCAAATAATAAATAATAGTAATTCTCATAGACAGCATTTTGGTGTGTTTTCAAGATACAAACAATTCCAGAAAGGAAGGTGAAAATGGCACTACTTTTCATACAATCTGGCACTTTAAGAACGTAATTTAAAAAAAAAAAAAGAATGTCATCAATGTCTCAGGTATAGACTACTGAACAGGTGTATGCTTTGCTATACATACTCTTAACAGTAAACAAAATTTTAAATCATGCTGATCCTTCATCCAGACAAAAGGTTATAAAGCTATTTACATATGAAAATAATATGTTTATTTGCTTATTGACTATCTTGTTAAATGACATTTCGCTTTTACAATGATAGTAAAAAACACACTTTCCAGCTATCACTATGCATTAGTGACATCAGTTCTGAGTAATGAGTGCTGAAGTGTGAGGAAGGGTAGTGTTGACTGCAATGGTTAAGGTTCTGTGTCTATTTGGTTAGGCCACGATTCTCAGTATTTGGCCATTATATGATAATGTAATTTGGCAGTTATGTGTAGTCATCCTTTATTCAGTGTTCTGATAGTCAGATATGTAGGAATGGGAGACTGACATTTATAAAATGTAAATAAGTAATTTAAAACCACTTAAGACTTAATTCACAGTTGATCAGGGTACACTAATGTTTCCTGATGCTGTTATTAAGAATATTTGAATTAATGAGCACAGTGCTTGCTATATCTTTTGGAAGGCCAACAGAAACAAATTATTTTGTTCTTGTCTTTTTTCTAATAAAGCAACAGCAAAAATAAACACAAGGTGGACTCTGCTCAAGATAAAAAAAGACAATGACTCCCCTCCTCTATTTGATTGTTTGAATTTTGTATTCTTAAGATGTCACAAGGAAATTGTAAGCTTTCAATTGAAAAAATATTTGCTGAAAGTTGTAAAAAAATATATTAAGTTAAAAAAAGAAAAATATCTGCACAAATAATCAGCAAATGTATTATTCACATATTTAATAGGCAGAGAGTAACATGAATGCTAAAAAAGTAAATATTCAGAATATACAGAAACCGTAAGAGAAAGAACGGGTCAGTATCTAGGTAATAATCTAACTTTCAAACAAGATAACCCAGTGCTCACACTACCTCTTGAAAAGGAAAGTTTATGCTTTTGGTGTGAGAGTCCACATCTTTAAACAAACAACTTGGGAGCCTCTATGAAAAGCAGGAGTTTTACCTAAAGCAAAGGAAAGCACAGCATTTATCTTGGTATTACAGTCATTTCCCTTCTCTCTTAACCCCACAAGAAGAAAAATGCTGGCTTCATCAATGTAGAATCAGAACACAAAAATAGTGTTATCTTTTCTCTAAGTCCTACAATTCAAATTAATTAAAAAATGTAAAACTTATGTGTTTATAAAAAGACATTTCATGTCCTCAAGGAAAATATTAACTTAAGGTCAAAACTTACTTTCCAATCCTTTACTATCTATTATAAATTACACAACTTCTCTACGTTCACCTTTCATGGCTCAGAAAAACAAACTCAGCCATTTATTCTTGCCAGCAACTTGACAAGACTGTTAAGCCTACATAACTGTCAATACCATCAAAATACGCACAGCCAGTTAGACATCATCAGACAAAAAGGAAGAGAGAAAGCTTTTATTATAACCTTACTTTCCTTAAAAGTTTTGTCCTAATTTCATTAAGAAATAAGTATCTATTCACTATATCAAGTTATACTATATTAAGTACACCAAAGTATATATTTTTCCTATATCAAACTCTATGGAGCTCTAGTGACATGGTTCACTAGGAGTTGGCTGCTAACTCAAAGGAGTTCAAACTCTGCAGTTTGAATCCACAAATGACTCCACGGGAGTGAGGTGAGCAATTACCTCCAAAAACCTGCTGGAGGGTCAACAATGAGGTCGCTCTGACTCACAGGCATTGAGTTTTGAGTCTGATATCCAATTATATTATACTATGGTGTAATAAAGCAACAACTTCAGATGGAGTAACTCTATTTTTATATTTGTTCAAAGCTAAATATTGTTAGATCCTTTAGAGCAGGTGTAGCTCTATCTAATTCTATCTATCCCTTTGTTCAATTTCCTTGGAGTGTTTATGGGTCCTTTTAATACATGTTCTAAAAGCTTCTTTCGGAAGACCAAAATACAGCTGACATCTGGACAACCTGAGTTTGAACTATGTGCGTACACTTTTATGTGAGTTTTTTTCTGTGCTGCTATTGCAAGAAACTCAAGTATTTTAAGTTTCCACTTAAAGCACCCTGTGGTGCTAATCTCAATTCTCTCTCTGGCAAATGCAGAGTATCAAGTGTCAAGTACATGCAGATTCTTCCATGTGGGAGGCTGATGCCCCTAACTCCCACCTTACTGCACTTACTTTACACAATTTTACCAAACAAAGTTATCTACAAAATCCAGTGCTCAGAAGCACACTGTTGAGCCAGAACAGACTCAAAGCTGATCCTCCAGTGGGTTTTCAGGGGCAGTAAATCACATGAGAGATAATGACTGTCCATCTTCTTCTGTGGAGCAGCTGCTGGATTTGAGCCATGTGCCAGTGGGCTGGATGGGCAATTTCCTCCTGTGTGATTTACAGCCTCTGAAAACCCATAGGATGGTCAGCTATGATTCAGTTCTGACTCAAAGGCACATAACAACAACTAGCAGAATTGACTATCTCATAGACTGATTTAAAGATAAGTGATGACATGTGGCATCTGAACGCCTACCAATATGCAAGATAATCAGAAATACAAATGTCTTCTGTATTTTTAAGGATTGACTTATTATTAAGAATTTTCATATTTACTGCATTTTAAAGTTATCTTTAAACAAAAAAATACTATACTATATAAGGACCATGTCAAAGGGACAAACTAAGATTTTGAAAGAGAATTTCTGGAGCTAGCAACACAGAAAACATTTGAAGGGCATATTTTATTCTTCTTTTAATAATGCACAAAGGGAACATGGTTTCTAATATAGTTTAAGTGAAAAGAATATTCAGACTTTGTATGTTAAGTTATGCATTGTAGTTTAATATTAGAAAATTATTTCCCCCTTGAATATATTATTAATAATATTTACCACACTTAATTGTAACCTAGGCCAATATTTTTCCCTACTGGAATGCATGCTTAATAGAATTAATGATTCAATTTATATACATTGGTTGCCAAGCAGGACCTTTTTTACTATCTTTCAATATAAATATTCCAGTTAGTATATCCAAGTTATTAGCACATTTATTTAAAAATTAGTAATACCTGTCTACCAAATTCACAGTGCTTTGTGAGGACTTATTAAGATAATGTATATAAAAGTAGACAAGGCAAGACCTTACTCATAGAGGCCTTAATTACTGATGATTTAGCTATGGATTAAAATAATCAGACCTCAAATCCAAGCTGTAACTAACTATAATCTTATCTTATCAATGAATATATTACAAATTGATGAAATATCATTTCTTTGCTATTAATGAATAAGAATATTTATCTAATTACTAGTCTTTGCAATTGCTTGCTATGCCTCAGAGAACTGGTCAATGACTAGGGCTGATAAAGAATTGATGCCTTTGAGCAATGGTCTGGTAAAGAGTGTTGAATATACCATGGACTGCTAGGAGAACAAACAGGTTCATCCAAGAGAGGGAGAAATCAGGCTGCTCCTTGGCGGCAATGATTCTGAAACTTTGACATACTTGGACATGTGACAAGGAGGGATCAGTCCTTGGAGACAAACATGCTTGGGTGGAGGGACAGTGCAAGAGAAGAAGACCCTCAATGAGATGGATTGATTCAGTCACTGGGGTAATGAGGGTAGGTGTGTCAGAGACAAGAAGGTTGGAACAGGATAAAGCAGGGATTAGGGACGTTGAACATAGTGTCGCTATAAGTCATAGTGACTTGGTGGCACATAACAATTACTGGTAACAAGAAATTATCATTAAAGGAAAATTTCTTCTTATATTAGGTTTAGAAATTAATAACAATGTTATAAAGTTAGAAAAATTAATAAGTCTGTCATATAAATGATATCTGATGGTACAATGGTTAAACAATTCTGAAAGGTTGGAGTTAGAATCCAACAGCGATTCAGTGGGAGAATGATGTGATTAACAGGCTGCTTATTTTTGTTAACAGTCCCCCTGCCCCGCTTCTCTGAATATTTTACTGTGTTTTGGATGAAAAGCATATTAGTTTTCCATTCAGCAATTTATACACTTTAAAAAAAATTCATCATTGCACATTTTTTCCTCCCTTCCCCTCCCCAGCCCATCTGCAATGCAGACCCTTGTTCCAGATTGCTGTAACACAGATATCTAATCATATATTCATTTCGGACAGTTGTTCCCCTCATCTGTTCTACTGCAG